TTTTACCTCTTGATATATTTGCTATGCGCATTTGATAACGCCTCCTCTGTCGCGAAGGTAAGATTTTCGTAGTGGGACTAAATTACAAAAAGATTTGAGTTGTTGAATTTTGCAAGTTACTCAGTAGAGAAAGCAATCAAACTTATATAGATCACGGAAAGAGCTTCTTTTAGAACTATTAACTAGTAATAGTTCACACTACAGCTGCCCCCGTTTTGTATATTGTCGGTCAATAGCATTCTTGCTCGTTGTGTAGCTCTTTGAAATATACCGATTCATAATGAAGATTTTCACACATATTCCATACAATGGGTGAGATAAATACAGGAAACGCAAGGTTCCATACACAGTTTCAGTTCGATTAATTTTTACACAGCTTTGATCAAAACATTCTCAGTTTCGAGAATAGTTTATTCTAAACCATAAGAAAAGATTTAATTACAAGTTGAATTTTTCGCTATTTCTCTTTCCCTTTTTACATTCAGTTCATTTTATTTGCCGGAAAGTAAGCCTTAGAAATTAAAAGGACGTTTGATCGATTCACGCTAGCGCATTCTAGTCTTATTTGAAACTTTATGACGGAAGGACATCTGTGAGCAGAGCAGGGAATAAGTCAGCACAGCATTTAATTGTCGGCGAATTTCTGTAAATGTCCATCAATCTGCTAGTGATAAGCTAGCCGTTGTTCACTCGTCTTGCTTGTTTGGGGCTGAGTCTTAGAGAGAGAAAGAGTGTCTGGCAAGGTTTCCAATATAAATCAAATATTTGTGAACTCGTGTCTGGCAAACTCTCCAAGTGTTTATATATCTACACAGTTAAACGCACCTTATAACCTCCCCTGCGCTTAACGAGTGTCTTTTGGTCCATAACTTTCAAAAAAACTGCTCCTCAGAATGTCACTGCGTAACGCAAAAGAGTATCGAAGTATGACTTCACAATAAATGTCACAAAATCTACCTGAGCAGTCCCTTCGGGATTTTCTGTCTTTACGTCATCCTAACCATTTCGTACTTGCGGGCACAAACAATAGAAACGTCATCATTACCTAACGATTCTTCGTGGCCCCAGTTCGAGCAAATCGAGATTTTTTCCAGTATACCGACTGTATATTTGAACTGTAAGTACTGTCTTTAATATACGCGCGAGTTACTAGGGTGCCTCCTCGGGATTTTGCCTCTGGGCGAAATCCCTGCGGGGGCAACAAATTGCTTTATAAAAAGAGCTAAAAAGCAGCGGAGAAATTCTTCAAAGCTGGCTTCATGTTTATGCTTAAAATTTAGAGGATCTAGAGGACAAAAATAAATATTGCCAGGTTAGTGATAAACTCTAACAATTAAAAGATCATAAGTCTTTCCCTTTTATTTCTCCAGATTTTGAAATGATTCAGATTTAAGTACAAGTGACACCCCTGCCGCGCGCGAAGACAGAGGACGCCATTCTCGTGACTACGATCAGAGCAGCCTGTCCATAAAAGGTTTTATTAATGCACCCCTCTAGGATCGTAATAAGGCTTGATCAGTAGTCTGTTCACTTCTATGATCGATAAAAATCATCAGTTTCTTGATTTTCGACTATTTTTCGTCAGTGCAAAATACTGAACAGGAACCATTCATACTGCGAGCAAATTCAAATTATTTTACGACCTTCAGTAATAACGAAATGTTTTCTCGTTTCAATTTCTAATGCAAAACAGAACTCAAACGCATGTTTACAAGGATCACCTGGCTTCCCTGGACATAATGGGTTTCCAGGCCGCAACGGTCGAGATGGTACTAAAGGTGAAAAAGGCGATGCAGGTACCACTGGACCACGTGGTGAGAAGGGGGAAAGTGACAGGAACTGGAAACAATGCGCTTGGCGGAAGAGCGATAGTCGTGATATTGGGCTGATACAGGTTTGTCGTTTTGCCTTTACCAAAGAGACACTTCTTTCACTTAAGAAGGATAGTATTTTTGAACGATTCTCGCCATAAGCGGTTAAAGAAAACAAGGCGAAAAGTTTTTCTTTTCTGTACTGTTTCATGGCCAGCCTACTCCTTTAAAAAATGTTATGAATTACTGACAGCGGTTTCATTTTGAGGTGTGATATGAATTAAAGTTTGTTGAAAATTACTGTTTTGTTGTTGTTTCAGGATTGTCAGTTCACTAAACTCAAGGATAACACTGCTCTCCGCGTTGTTTACCAGGGAAAGGTTGGGGTTTTGTAACAGTTGCTGTAAGCGATGGTTCATCACTTTTAATGGCGCCGAGTGCAGTGGTCCCCTGCCTATTGACGCAGTGCTGTGGATCCTAAGACCGTCCGACGAAGACCACAGATTCGGGTTGATTGAGGGCTACTGTAACAACATACACAAGGGCAAAATCCGAGTTGGAATCAACATCGGAAATTGTGCAGGGTATGGAAATTCCGATGGTCACACTGGCTGGAATTCAGTGTCTCGTTTGATCATTGAAGAAGTCCCTCACTCCCAGTAACAAGTTGGAGACCAACAAGTGATTCTTAGTAATGACGCTAGCAAATGCTGGGACTAGTGAGAGGAAAAGGGTTAAGAAATAAGGGTTTTTATAACATTTACGTGTAAAGCGGGTCAGTTTAAAACTCAAAATAAATAAAGCACGTCACTATGAAGGTGTGAATATGTCTTTTTTACGTTAAACATAACTATTAAGCGTTGAGTTTTCACTCTTTTATTGTGAGGCAGTTATTTAAATATAGGTTTCAACCTTTGAAAGATAAATGTCATTCTCTCTTGTAAATGTACATTGGAAACAGGATGCTTTAATTCAGGCTCTTGAAAAGAAATTGATTTCCAAGAAAAACCACTAGTGTTTATTCACTGCGCTATTTTACAAATGAACATAATCACAAAAGGGTGATGCCTTCATTCAAAATCATAATAAAGAGTCTATTTTAGAGGATCGAAATTCTGCAAATCATCGTATTTTGCTTCTCAAAAACTGTTTAGCCCCTCGCTTTCCCTAAAAAAGCATAAAACAATGGCTTTTTTCGTAAAAACCAAGCTGCTACGGTCTCCAGAATAATTGATTTTTCAAAAGTAGCTCACACACTCGTGACACAACCTGCGTAAACATAATTATTATACATTGTACTCCCTATCTGCCTTCACATCGGCTAAGAGCCTAAAATTATTTTGGAAATCAGCGCATCAGTTATCTGCTAACAGATAAGCGACTTATCTGTAGGTTGTGCGCGCAATGCATGATTTCCAAGAGCACTGTCAAATTGTGTTCCATGTGATGCTGTGTTTGTCCTTATTTTCTTCAAAACAATGTATAATAAAACCATTATTAGATTCGTTTTTTTTTTGTGATTTCCGGAATAATCAATGTCTCGGTAAATGTTATCAGCCTTGGCCTTAAGTTCAGCTGATAACACTTACCTCGACCTCGCATTGATTATTCCGGATATCACAAAAACCTCAACCAACAATTGTTTAGAATCTTCTGTTTAACGTAATTCCGTGAAAGCGATTACCACTCCCACAAAGAAAATCAGTCTTACATTGGCGATAGAGGATACGTTATCAGTTTTACATTGGTACAATATCAACATATAGAACAGGAACTGGAGCAGCCAGAGGCACTTCTTACTTCCAGGCCGTTTTGAGGTTACAAGAGAGACGCCGGAGAAAGAGTTGGAACTGATGACATTGAGCGGCTCCGTCAAATTCTAACTCATGTCTTAGAATTCCGTTTTTAGCGCAGCGAAAGAGTGAAATTTAAATTTTTAAATTTAATGTTTGTATCCGGATTTCAACGTAGGCAAAAGATTGTGAAGAGGAGCACATACAGCGACATTATCACAGCTTGATTATTTAAACTCCCTTAAGCCGAAAAGGAAGAGGAAAGGAGATCGAAGACCTTGCGCATATGCAATACCAAAACTCGTTTGGACTTTAACTAGAGCCGGTAGCTGGCCTAAGTTTTTAAGAGAAATAGTGATGGGTTAAAAGGTCAATAAGGAAAGACGCCAAAAGTTACATGCACAAAAACCTCTGCTGCATCTGATAAGATCTTATGCCAACTGTGCCCATCCCATCAAAAGATAGTGTCGAGGAGGGGTGTCATCCGAAGATCTCCGAAGACCTTTAGCGTCATTCAAACTTTCTTCTGGACTGGATGAAAATTACGTCTGACAAAAACTACTTCTATAATCAACTGACTTGTAAGGGGCTCCGAGATGCCTCTGTTAAAAACTAACTCTCTAGGCATTTATTGCACAGACAGTAAATGACAGGTCATAAAATGGTTTCCTTGGAAATGATTTGTGTTCGGGCGCACTTCCTATCACCATTCCACCATTCCACCATTCCTTGACCCACCATCTTAACCCACCTTTGAACAACCCGGCCCAGGAATTAAAGAAAACCATTTTGCTGAATCGTTGACTTGACCCCAATATCGCATTCCTTCTTGCTGTGTTACTGTTTTTGTGATGGCGATGTCAAGCACTGTGTGTACGTGTGGACAGGACATCCTTCGACCTTGTTCCCACGCTTCTCTCCTACTCGTTCCTACTTCCCTGGGACGAGTAGCAAAAAAGCCTGGGGACGAAGTTAGGAAGCGCTGCCTCAGACAGAAAGTAATCGAAATTTGTGCGGCAATACAACGGTAATTCCATGTGATCAGTCAATAATTTCTCGCGTTCAAGCGCAGCATAACAGAAGGTGTCCAAAGGCTACTGTTTTTTTTTTACGTTTTGAGTATATGTAAAATGCTTGAAATGTGACATCCTGATCACAATACTCAGCCAAGAAAAATGACAGGTACTGAATGAAATGACTATTCTCTTGTCACCAGTCAGTGAGACCGCAAAGAGAAACGAAAGCGCATTGTTCTTAAAACGAATTTGCATTAAATGTTTCGGGCCTGCAACGTTTTGTTTCTGGTGAATTTTCACATTTATTCTTATCTTGACGACAAAAAAAACATATTTGGCAATGATTAATTGACAGAGGCCACTTCCGTGACTTTTCAAAGCCGCATATTCTCTCAAAACACTTGATTACAACAGCACATCGTAAAATATTATTCAAAAACAAGAGAAATTTCACATAAATTAATTCAGAAACGATTTTTTGCCTCATGGTTTTTCTGCCATAGTTTTTTTTACCAAAACCAAACTTTTTCCCTGGACCTTCAGTTTAATTTATATTTTTTAGCGAAAACTGTTAAGCAGTTTATTCGGTTGTTTCGCAGTGATGGAAGCGGAGCTCGCTAGATTCTGATAAGGTAAGCTTATAATCGGCAACGCAATGTAAAGCTTTTGTTCACCTTATACACGCGACGAATACCGTCAATTATACCACGGTAAACCAGTTAATCCTACCACGTGCTTTTTGGCGAATTTTCCTACTACGTGAAGTCCTATTCAGTAACAAAATATGAGAGTCAGTGAGAGAAGAAAACTCAACGCATACTTTGTTCTAGCTAGCTGTGCGCTAAATTTATAGTAGAAATAAACATATTAGCCGAAATTAGACCGCAAATAGGGTGAGCTGCGAAAGCTCAATGCGGTAGAGCAGGTGAAAAAATAGTTGTGAGAGGGGCATGAAAATCAAGTATTAAAGAAGCGGAAGAAAGAGGACTCACTTGACGACTATATCGATTCATGGTTGAATGAACCAGTTTCAAACGCTGTTTTTCTGGAAGATGGCTTCTCAGTTCGACTCAGTGCACAACCATCAATTTTTATGTTCTGTTTATAATTCAAACAAGCATCAGTGCTTTTTGCACGAGCATTAAGGTATCGAAAGGTAATTCCCTTGAAATTGTTCTACTATCAAACTTTTTTTGAAACTTGGCATAATCAACATTCATGAT